TCAAAACAGAAATCTCCCCAGACTGAATCTAACTCCCCAAGCCAGCAAGCCAAAACACCGTGAATTCCTTAGGGTGGTGCCAGTCTCATCTTCTTAAACTTCCCACGCTTCTGTTGAGGGCTAAGGGAATGCTTATCTCCTCGAGTGCGGCCTTCATCCAACCATTCCTTCACACTAAGAAAGGATATTGCTTACTGTGTTGAGAACGCAAGGTACATAGTAAATAAACTATGTACTCTTCCTTTCTTTTTTCACCAAGTATTAATTGTTTTAAGAATGTTACATGTACTAATTAAGTCATATTTTCTGCAAGTTTCTAATAGAAATTATTAATGAAAACTTAGTATCCATGTCTCTTTTTTCCACATTGCAATTAAGAAACCCAGTTAAATGTACATTTACATATTAAATGTAAGTTTACTCCACAACTTAGCAAAAAGAACATCTTTTTCTTACCATTCACTTGAAGAATATGAGTCTGATAGAGTTTATCATAGCCATCTGCATAGCAGCTATAATTTCCCATGTGAGTTGTGGTAATCTTAGTAATATATAGGGACCCATCATCTCCAAAATCCTAAAGAAAAAGAAGAAGAGGGGATCACACTTACCTTGGGAACATTATCCTTTCTACTGAATTTGTCTAAGAAGGACAATGATGTGTCAGAGTTTATAATCTCTTTATTATAAATTATACCAGAATTAAACCACCTTTAATTCATAAGGACTTCAAAACATACAAGCCATACAAACCTGATTCAGTAGATATTGACTGCATTTTGTCAGAGGACAGTGTTTCACCCTCCATGATATTCATGTCCCCAGTCAGACTACAATATTCATTATCTGAGCTGTAGATGTTGGATGACTAGTGTGATCCACTATATATTTGATATAGTGTGTTGGACAACAAGTTGTTCAGACCCACCTTTAAATTCATTTAACTCTTTATTTGTTGGATGTTTTATGCTTCAACAGGGTCCAAACCACACAAAATTATATTAAAAATAATAAGTATATAGAAAGCAAAATAAATACTTGAAAGCTTCAGGAAGTTCTAACAATTTCATCTTCCCATTCTATATTTTGTTCAGACCTTTATGAGCATGTACTATTGTAAATGAATCTTCTTTCAACTAGGTTAGTATTAAGGGATTGATTGAAGTAACTTTTTAGCTTGTCACATGTAGCTTGTCATGATGTAAGTCAACTAATGCTGTACAATTTATAATGCAATATTAAAATTCCACTAACACCAGAAAATGAAAGTTTTCAAAAACAGTGTCATAGGTTGTGTTGAGAGGTTCTCAGGAATGAACAGGCAAAATCCCAGCACACAAAAACCTTCTTGTGAAACATTCCAGAAGAACTGAACATATATTTTTTAATTTATTCATAACAATTCAAGATGGAAAAACTTTGGTTTCTCTGAAAATTTATTTAGTTAGTTAAATGATTTATATGGCTGCCCATCTCACAACAGTTACTCTGAGCAGTGTACAAAGTTAGAACAACAACAACAACCAAATTTGACTTTTACAACTAGATACTTCTATAATGGGTATGCAGATTAAATAGATAGATCCTCATATATCCTCTTTTCAGCACTGATGTCTGCCATAGAAAGTTGGAATTATAGGAACAGCAGTAAATCACTTTATGATTCTAAGTGTTCTGCCATACAGCAATTAATATTTTCCTGTCTGAAAGTGATACTTTTTCCAAAATCAGTGCCCCTTTTTAAGATATTGTTACATTTGTAGCTACAAGGACATTTGCCTTAGTGTTAGTCAATCAATTGCCATCTAAGTTTAACATAAAATTTAGCTGGCAATCTCGCGTGGCTAGCAGAATCTTCTCCTTTAGGACAGGGTAGATAGATCCCTCAAAGTTGCCCTTCCATCTTTGGTGATCTTCTTTCCTTCAGAAACTGTGGAATTTATATACAGTGCATCAAAGGGTTTCAGGCATTCTCAGATGGCCTCAATAAACCCAATGGGTTTTTAACACATTCTAACTGTTAATTGATTAAGTACTTCTAATCTGTCTCACATGTGGACTAGCACAGATCAAAGAGCAATTTTTCAATTGCTTAATAATGAAATTGAGCAAATTCCTGTCCTTCATTTAGGTTTTTGCTTTTTTGTACGGATATAAGATATTTTCTAAGACATGCATCTTCATGAAATCTCAAAGAAATACAGTTTATTGTATATCAACTGTTTCCTCTGTTCATATACATACTTTGTTTCTGCAAATCTGCAGTTATGAAATACTAAAATTCCATTATTATACCCAACTGCATAATTTGCAAATAAAAGAAAGGAACAAAAGAAAGAGGAAAATGTAGATCATGTCATTGCTCAGATCAGTAACAAATTCTTACTCAGAACTCATTATGAGTCAAAAAGTAACAGCAATCCTACTTTGATTTATTGGTACAACAAGAGATAAGATGATTGATTGATTGATTGATTGATAGAATCCTCTCCCAAGACTATATACACAGACTAACTTTCAGAATTATCTAACAGACTGTTGCTGATATCAGGGTAAATTTATGTCTTCATGCCACCAGTGTAA